AGATATAAAAAATGCATCCGATGTGGATTCTCAAACGCGGCAATGGTTATTATTAATATAACATTTTACTTGCATTTATATGGCACACTTTAATAGTACTGAATCTGAAAAAGTAATTGTTTTTAGGGTTTCTTACTTCAAAAACTCTTACAAAAATATTGCTATTAAGATATTTTTATTAGAGTGAGCCATAGAAAATGTTGCTAAAGTAGGTCATGACAGACAAGGACAGATATACGATGAGTCAGGTTAGTGATAACTACACACAGCTCTAAATTACATCCAAACTGACACTTAAAAAAAAAATAATCGTTCTCTCAGATATGCATTAATTGTTTCCAAGACCTATTTTAGAAATATTTTTGTGGCTATGGGCCGATTCCACCGTTGTGTTAAACGGAGATTAAATTGACATTGTTAATGTAAAAATGTCATTTTAAACTTCGTTTAACACAATGGTGGAATCGGTCCTTACTCTTTATTTTACACTTAACCAACACTCTTATCAACAATAAGTTAACATAATATGGGTCACTTGTTATTTAATATTGTTTTATCAGAAAAATGTTTTTTTTTAGTTTAGTTTAGTCCATCATCTACAATGTAAAATGCAATATTCAAATTTTCAATTTTGCAGAACATACAGGCCACAGGCAATTGTAAAAATGGTTATTTTTGTTTTAAGAGTAACGTGCCCTAGATTTTTTAAAATATTGAAAAAGTTATGTTATTTAGTATAAATCTAAAGCTGTCATGATACATAACCGTGAGAAAAAAAAAACAAAGAAAAACCAGAATCTACACATTTTAAAATAAATGTATTCTTTGTAATAAGAACCTAAAAAAACCTTTGATCTCAGTAATTCAGACGTGTAAAGTCATATTTTAATGTCCACATTAGAAGTAAATATGAATATCACATTTACTTAATATACATACGCAGAACGGAGTCGTATACAGATCCATAAAAATATAACCTACAAAGTTAAATCTGTTTAAGAGTTTGGACCTACACAGGCCACAGAAATATGTAATATGTATTAAGAAAAACCCTGTTAGAAGGATAATTAATAATTTAGTATACCTACTGTACTTAAAGTTATTATATTATATTTATGATAGGATCCAAAATAACCGTATGTAAAAATTGAACTTCTATTACTATTCATTAGCTACCTACTTTCTAAGTCTGCAATTTAAATAATTTAGGATTGGGAATCATTGCTAAACTATCTTAGATTAATATTTAAGTTCTCTATAATTTCACAAAATAATTGCTTGGCCATCTTCAAATATCTGAGGTAGAATACAGTATAGAACGTGATTCTAAAACTTACATAAATACATTATTCAGTTAAAAAAATATTTAATACAGAAGAATAATGAGTACCCACCCTCTATCATATCAAGAATTACTTAAAATAAGCATTTCTTATGTGCATATAACTTTTGTTTAAACATTGTTTGCCTGTACATAACCTAAAACGGAAGTGTCAAGGAAATATACGAACTAATGTGACTCCTGGTATATAATGTACTTATCGTTTTCTTGCAAAATATGAATCTGGCAACGTTGTAAAAAATGGCCCCAAAAGTAACGATTAATATAAATAGTATTTAAATTAGCTCCGCCCCTTTGGACTCAATAAACTCATTATATATCAGAAAATCAGTGAGACCATTGAGGCCAGGGACCCAATGTGTCGAATTGGACTTGAAGTGTCGAGTTTCTATAAAAATTAGGCCTCAATGGTGCCACTTTAGGTATATATATATATATATATATAATTAAACCAGTAATTTGTGGGTAATGCAGCAAATGAAAGATTACTTTTTTAAGTTTATTCCAAGCTTTCGGAAATGTTTATTTCCATCATCAGGGAGACTAAAATAAAATAATACCACATATGATGATAAAGTAAGGTAAAAAATTTTTTTACTTACATCTTAATTAAGGTTGTTCATTTTGGTGGTATTATTCAGTTTAGTGTACAAAATGGACAAGCTGAAGTCAATTACAAAATAATACACACAAAAAATAATAACTACGATACTTTAAAAAAATATAAATATCGAAAGGTCAATTTGACAAGACAAGTAAAATTTTAAATAAATAACATTTCCGAAAGCTTGGAATAAACTTAAAAAAGTAATCTTTCATTTGCTGCATTACCCACAAATTACTGGTTTAATTATTAACTAGTCAGCAACGATTATCAACTCTCTTATATATATATATATATATATATATATATATATATATATATATATATATATATATATATATATATAAGAAAAGGTTTAGTGCAGTGAAAAAATATAAAAGATAAAAGGATTATTGGGCAAATACCGCAAAAAATGAAAAATAAAAAATGCCTAAAGGCAAACCGTAGACACGTGTTTCTGACTATTGGTCTTCATCATTACGGTGCAGCCAAGTTCAAAAGAGAATGGAACTAGGCGATGAAATCAAATCACAGGAGATCACTCAAGAAGCCAACCACACATTTGTGGACTGTGCTAACATTCCCAGTGATTACTAGGAAAATATTAACGTCGCCTCGGAGGCAGTTATAGCCGCTATGAAGATGCATCCAAGCCTAGGGAAACTAAACAAGAAAAGGTTTAGTGTGGTGAAAAAATATAAAAGATAAAAGGATTATTGGCCAAATACCGCTAAAAATGAAAAAAAAAATGCATAAAGGCAACCGCAGACACGTGTTTCTGACTATTGGTTTTCATCAGTACGGTGCGGCCAAGTTCAAAAGAGAATGGAACTAGGCGATGAAATCAAATCACAGGAGATCACTCAAGAAGCCAACCACACATTTGTGGACTGTGCTAACTTTCCCAGTGATTACTAGGAACATATAAACATAGGAAATAATAAACAAAATATCCCTATGTGAACATCACGGTGGTCGAATTATAACGAACAGCGATTGCGTTCGCTGGGCCTCTCTGGGCCTCTATCAGGCTTCAATTGCATCTCCCTAACTCAGTCTATGTGGTCTGTGGTTTTTATTATGATTTGTTTATAGAATAACTGATATCTACACTATAAGCCAAAAAAAAATGTTACATAATAAATTATTAATATACAGTGTGTCCCTAAGTTATTCTTGATAAAAAAGGCTAGCATATTTTATTAATAAAATATCAAGAATTCGCAAATTTCAAAGTAAAGCAAATATTAATTGAAAATATTAATAGGGCCTAACAGAACACAAGATAAAATAAAAAAATAAATTTACAGTAACGATTTGTCAGAAACATAACTTTGTATATCTCCAATTCCCTGCTTAGTTTTTATCAGGGCACTAACAGTCTTTTTATGTATTCTATTGCGGATTTCCGTTTTAATGTTATTTAAGTGACTAAAAATTCTTTCCACTGAGGCATTGGAAAAGGGTAGAATTAATAAGAGGCTAATTACCTTTTCTAGGTTTGGAGTACCTGTTGTATTTTTTAAATGAAAAATTTGGCACCAACAATCTTCTGTAGATAAGCTAATATAATAATAATAATACTCTCCCTAATTCACCCCCTTTCGAGTGAATTTCAACCCCTGAAGTCGACTGAACGACTTGTGTAGCCGTAGCCGTAGCGCTCTGGGGCGACTTAAAGATGATTGATGGTGCCATTTGACTTACAGGTGAGGAAAACCCGGAAAACCTCACCGACCATCATCGAGACGGTAATGTATGGAGAATTTTTTTAATCTGCATGTCATATCAATAGAAATTGAATTTCTATTAATACGCCACACATCAAATCCTAAACCGAACCATGCAATTTAATTAAAAATCCACATGGTCAGGTCTGGGATTCGAAACCCAGCAATCTCAGACTCATAAACTTGCCTATAAATGAACATAAGCGCGATAGACCGCTACACCACCGTCCCGATATCTATTTCAGATTCCAACAGAGCATGTCTTTTCCATTCGTTGTCCAAAATTTGGAGATCAACAAATTCTCCTAATATTGGAAACCTATCAATAACTATATTTAATGATCTTACCTCAAATTTTTGGACATAGCCTGGTTCCACTATTTTAATTATTTCAAAAATACTGTCTGAAAAATCAAATCTTTTTTTTATGTCACTAACAGATTCAGTGTAAAAGCCTAAACAACTTTTAAGAAATAAGTCAATATCTGCAGATTTTACATCAGGATTTTTTTCAAATTTTGTAATAATTCTGAAGCTTGAATGCCAATGTACAATTTTTCTAATTCTACAAATAAATTTGAATTAGTATGGTTTAATGTCCATATAGAATATTTTTTTATGTATTTAATTTCTATAAAATTAGAACAAATATCTATTAAAAGAGTCATTATTTCTAGTCTTAACTTGTGCAAGAGTGGCTCTCAGACTCAAATAAAATATTAAAATTTGTCAATATGCCCAAAGTATAAGACAACTATTGAAGATATATTTCGGTAAATTGATTGTCCATTGGCTTTAGCATATCAGTAGTAGTAGATGGATTAGAAAAATTTTACTCCAGTAGATAAGCGTTCAGTGGCTCATATTGCTCTAGAATCCTATCAACGCATTGCTTCTAGTTAAAATTTGATGTACATCAGTTCTAAAAAAAGTTTGAAATTCTCTAAATGTCTCCTGCCCCTATGCACTTCGGCTAAAGTGAAAGCCTATATTGCGAACTAAATCCTCCACCGATCTGGGAAGTTTTAGACATGCTTTAAAGGCATTATGCTGCTAAGTATTTAGCTATGGCGAGACATGCGATAACAATCCAAACTATTGCATGTAAAAGAAGTTGACTATCAACGGTCCAAACAACTTCAGGCATCATCTGGGAACTTATCAAAGCCAAACCTTTTTGTGTAAATTATGGAAAACATCACATGCAACAGAGGATGACAATAAAGCAACCCTCACACTGTTATCCTTAAGAAAATCAATGGAATCGCAATTTAGTGACAAAAAAATCCACCAAAATGAACTATGGAAAAGAATAGCTGAAAAAATGAATCAAATGGGATTTTATGTAGGAAATGGTATTGAAGGCAGGGAAAAGGTGAGACAAAAATTTTCCAATTTACATGCAAAATATATCAAATACTGTGATGCCCGAAAAAATACTGGACAAGGAAAATTAAAAGTCCCAAAATGTTATGAAGAAATGGAGGATATATTGGGCGATAAACACAAAGTAAACCCCATAATTAACATTGATTCTTTAAATGTTATTAAATCAACCAATAATTCCGAATGTATTACCATACAAGAAGCAGAAACTCAATCTCGTTGTACATCTACATCCATTATTGATGATAGCGCAACTTCAAACACACTTAATGGTAACTTAACACCATAATCATCAAATCAGTTCCAAAAAAATCGCTTCACAAAACTAACTGCTAGATCAAGACCAAAAAGTAGTCAACAAAATTGTTTGCAAGAGTTAGTAAATATTCAAAAATAAAACCAGACTAAGCGTAAAGAGGAATTTAAAACCATGATGGAGTTTTTCTATGCAACAAACAACCAAAGACATGACAAATAATGGCTCTTATTAAAAGAGGATACAAAAGAAAACTTTCTAGCGAAAGTGAAAGTGAACAGTTTTGTTAAGTAAAATGCTAATTTAATTAAAGAAACTTGTAGGTAAAACAAGTTTCAGAAGTATTTGTAAATACTAGCAATTATTAATTTGATTGTTATATGTATTTCTGTTCTTAAAAATAAAAATCGTTTTGAGCTTAATTTTGTTTTATTATCTACACTATCTTGAAATAAACGCAGTAATTTCTGATCTTTTAATGATGCCCTCATCTTTCATATTACCAGCATTGGCATTATATTCCTCTTCATGAACATTTACCAATGGTTCGTAGTTTTCCCAAAAGTCTGAGTGTACATAACAAAAATTATGAAGGATACAACAGGCAGAAATAATCCTAACTGCTTTTTCAATACTGTTGACATTAATATATTTTAGAATTCTACATCTTGATTTTAATATACAAAAGGTATGTTCCACCGCAATTCTGCATTTACTTAGATATGTATTATACTTGGTTTTCTCATCAGGCAACCTTCCAATAGATCTAAAAAAAAACATAAAATACATAAATAAGTTGTAACCTAAAATATATATACTCACTTGTATGGGGTTAACAACCATTTGAGCAAAGGATAAGCTTTATCACTAAATGATAATCTTCATAAAAATACTTAATATAACCTTCATCTTGAGCATTTAAGTAAATTTGTGAATTTTTGAGAACCTTCAACAAAAAATGCTGCCAAAAAAGGGCTGATTCAAATAATCAAACTAAATAAATTAATAACGTATTTGACACCTTACCTTTTGGAATATTGGACTGATCGGCGAGCTTCACACATGAAGCAAGGGCACAAATATTAAGCGACGGCGAACGAACTTGTTACTTTGTTGGCGATACATCGATGTCTCGTGGTTCTTCGAAAAGGTCCCAAGCATGAACCGTTTAGGTAGGGCAAAGTGTCAAAATAGATAACGCGAATTTAAATTAAGAAATTAATAAAGAAAATAAATCCAATCTCGAACATTTTCTGCCCCGGGAAAATGCAATTGTTGCATTTTAAGCAAAAAATTATAAAAATATATATCTGTGGTCGGTACTTAAAAGGTCATAAGTATGATTTTGACAAGGGCGACAAAACGCGATTAAAGGTTAAAACATTATGTCAGAGACAATTGAAATATCAAATAAGTTATGGATGTTCACATACTTTGATTATGTGTGGATGTTATTTTGAACATAATTTATTATTGTAAGAAAAGTACTATAGTCCAACATTTAAAATTCATATTCTCTCAAAAAAGTTAAATTTAAGGCCTTATTAGTTTTACACCTAGATTAAGGTACAGCGGTAAAAAGGTCATAAGTCTACATATTAAAAAAAATGTTTTTCAGAGTTTAGGACAAAAGAGATTATGTACACTTAAGTTGAGAACAAGTTAGCAAACGAAACACAATCATGGCTTATATAGACATAAACTGTTTATTATTACAAAATAGTTTCACAATGAAAACTTAAAAATTGACATTCTAAAATATAAATTATACTAATTATTAAAAACATTGATAAAATATAACAGCTTAATATAGTAAATATGAATTTACTATTAAGCACATCATATTAAAATTAAACATTGGACACAAAAATGCATAGGTACATATGTTTAATCATCACAATCATCGGAATTATAACGATCAAGATCTGGATCTGTGTCTTTTTTGATTTGTTTATCACAAGGAAGGTTATAATAATATTCTTGAACATCCTTATCAAGTAAATTAACAATTTCAAGCAAGTTTTCCTTTTTTTAGCACTTATTGGTCGCTTACTAGTATACAGTTGAGTGGGCACATATTTTTTTAAATTACTTAGTTTTAGCCCCTTTTTCATAAAATTTATTTCTTTAAAAGGATCTTCTTCTCCTAATGTGCATTTAAACTTAACTAGTGGTTCTTTAGTATATCGAATCCAACGAACTTCCCTGAGCTTAAATGATTTATCCTTTGCTCGAAGTGGACCTTTTGAACAAAGTTCTGAGAACGCAAAAAATGTTCTTGTTCCATAACTTCAACAGTAAATTTATTTTTCTTACTAGCTGTGCGGACAAGTTGGTACCAGTCTCTTGGAATGTGTATATCGAATCCACATTTTTTCTTCGCTCTTTCAATTACATCACATTCTAAATGTGTGTGACCTGGTATCAAAAATTTGTGATCAATCACTTCCAAAGTAGGATGTTGATGAATCGCAAACTGAAACATAGAGCACACAAAAGAATTTTTATTTTGTCCTCCGCAAGTGTCGGAGTAAAATACTGCAGTCCTAATTCCGTTTGGTATATAATTTGATGTAATATGACGAAAGAGGCATGACGATATTTCATTTGCCCCTCTACCTGCAGTACATTCCGGCCACATATAATGAACACATTCTCCTGAGCTGCAATTATGGATCGTCAAATTGTAAGTTGCTAACTGCCTCAAATAAAACATTTTGTTACAAGACAGGTAAGGTGTTTGTAGTACCTGTTGCAAATCAAAAGCATACGTAACATGAGTTGGATCTGTTGTGCCCTTCATTTTATCAGCATTTTTTGCTTCATATGCAGCATCTGCACAAGCTAAATGTGTTTCTCTTTCGTGTCTGATTTTTGTTTTTTCTTCCTCATTTTCGCAACATTTTTCCTTCGCCAATAAAGAATCACATTTAGTATATGTATCATTTTTAGGCTTTTTGAATTTTAGACCCAACTTGTGAAATTCTCTAGAGTAAATTTTTATTGAAACTGGTTTTTTTTTATGATCTTCACGGTATAATTTGTACATAGTACTCAAATTTAGGTTTGAAGCTAAATACTTTTTATTAGTATGTCTTCTTGAATAGTGGCTCTCGTATGCAGGGAATGATTGTATGTGTTTCACCACATCGTCTATGCTCTTTTGATTCGTTTTATGTATAGGAGTATGTGTACCACGATAATCTGTATGAATCACTCCGCTAATTGAGGACATTTTATTAGCCATTGTACAAGTAACAAACTTTTCTGTTTCATCCAGAGTGGCCAGGAAACAGCTTTTGCACACCAGTATCTTTTCACCATCAATTTCAATCTTTTGTAGGTCTGCCATTAACTTTGGTTCTTGTTATTTTTGTTTCCTTGACAGTTATAAGACTTGCAATAAATGCGACACGTCTATCATGTGAACCCAAACCCAATATTCGTAAAATACTTTTTGCCTCTCAGTTTCATTTAGCTTTTCCCTGCACTTATTTCTACAGTTCTGTCGTAATGGTTTAATTTTTCTAGCTTCTTTCACCTTGCCCTTGGATGTTTTATACTTCTTGCCCGTATTTCTATTGTTTTGTCTTTCTCGAACCTTTTTACTAGAAAAAGGTTTCGATATTGCACTTGTTTCTTCTTCACTTGTCCTGGTTACTTCGCCGCTACTCCGCTCTGGGTTCGTAACATTAGGAAGGTAATCCGAATCAACGTTGATATTGTCTTTCTCAACTTCTCCATTTTCAACTTCCATCGACTCATCTTGTATTACCAGGTCATTTTGATCCATTATTTTTTCAAAACTCACTTGATCTTTCTGTTCTTCAATAATGTCGTTTTTATCTTCCAACAAAATATCATCTGACCGTTCCTGGCTTATTTGATCTTGTTTATTCTTATTTGTATCCAATGAATCTGGCAACATTTCCAGAATTTTGGAAATTGTAATAGGTATACCTGTTTCAAGTTGAATAATACCAATATTTTCAATTTTCTTTCCTACAAAATCTTCCTGAATATCACTTTCTATAAGGTTTGGGACCACTGTCAGATTTGATGAAGTCATTGGTAACTGGCATTTGTTTTCAAATACGTGGCTTACATTTTCAATTGTACAATCTGCATTAAAAAAATTTTTTTAAATTTTTTTTAGAACTATTTATTTTACTTACCATTTGGTAAAGCTACATCTTTTAACGCAGCTGGCGGCAGTAGTGTGAATTCTAATATTCCTTCTGCGTTCACAATATATGTCGAAACAGGTTTAACCAACCGAGATAATTTTGCATTTGGTGAAATATTTTCATCCTGAATGTCATTCTTGTCCGACTCCTCTGATATTTCTGGTAATTGTCTCTTCTGTCCCTGATGTAACCCTCCCAAAACATTTTGTATTTTTAAATAGTTTAAACAATAGTCCCCAGATATTTTATAATAATTATTCATAAATAGAAAATCAGAACATTATTTTGTTTTTTGTATATCAAAACCCTTTTTTAAATTATAGCTTGTATACTGCCCTACTAAGCGAAAAGGGGGTATCTACATTTTTTTCGAAATATGAGATATTTATGTCTAGCCATTCAAGGCACTTTATTTTATCTAGTACTAGAGTGAATTTGCCGTATCTATACTACAAATATTATAATTTAGACTATAAGTTTAGCCGTATCTACAAAGCATACAGTATATACTAAGCATTCGGGCGGGAAGTAGCAATACTAGACAATAATGGTGTAACGTTCATTTTTGGCCCCACGAATTAATAAAATTGTTTTGGCTTACCTGGTTAATCATACGAAAAAAAAGGGTAAAATCGTATTGATGATATCACTATTATTTTTGTCATTAACTAATTTCACCTGTATTCTAACTTTTGGACATCATTATTACAATTTATTTCATCTCACCACTAGTATAATACTTTGTACAATGGTCATATTTGCAGTGTAGTGTTCACTGTTTTAATTTGCCAGATTCTCCTAAAAATAGACCAAGTTTCGTTGTAAATTTATACATATTATGTATTA